CACTGTATGCAGATGGGTGGGGCACCATGCCTAGGGTGGGTGGAGCACTGTATGCAGATGGGTGGGGCACCATGCCTAGGGTGGGTGGAGCACTGTATGCAGATGGGTGGGGCATCATGCCTAGGGTGAACAGAGCACTGTATGCAGATGGGTGGGGCATCATGCCTAGGGTGGGTAGAGCACTGTATGCAGATGGATGGGGCACCATGCCTAGGGTGGGTGGAGCACTGTATGCAGATGGGTGGGGCTCCATGCCTAGGGTGGGTGGAGCACTGTATGCAGATGGGTGGGGTATTACCTTGAGATCTCACCCCAGTACCACTCGGCGTCGCTCAGTTGGGCGCTCCCGCTGGGGACGGAGGACACTGCCATCTTGGCAGGCTTGGGAGGGAGGGCTGTGAAATAAGGAACAAAGATACATGTTGGAAACAAAAGCAACCATTTTAGACAGAGACGGGAAGTGCTGTTCCATCCTTTGGTCACCTGGGGGCGCCTCCTCCTGTTCCCAGCTTCTCTCCAGCAGAAGTCGCTCCAGAAGCTGGACTGGGAAGTCCTCGTCCACTTCCGGCCTTACAGGAGACACAGATTAAAAGCCGTCACTGCACTGTGCTGTCTTCGGGGCCACTCTCCCCATACAAGGCCTTAGTGTACCGCATTACCAATAAAAACTATTTACGAGAGTACAGAGTCGCTCTGTGTGAAACAGAATCCACCCTGACGGGCCAGGGAGACGCTTTCAAGAATACGAACACCAGTCAAGCCTGAAGGAACAGCTACACCACGAGGAACATCTCTGTTTTGGGTGGATCCATTTTAAGATCAGTCCTATTACTAACAGATAAAGACCTCAAAAGGAATTTAAGGAATCCTTCCTCACGTCACACCACTCAGAACATCATTAAAATGAGCCTGGAAAAGGTGTCTTTCTCCTCCTCCTCCCGCCTGCTCGGTACCCTGGGCTGGGGTCAGCTTTTAAAACTTCAAACTTTGATCCTTTCTCTTAAAATAACTGTACTATGGCTCCATAAAAGCCGGAGGTGCGGAGCTGAGGCACGCAGTGTCCTCTAGAGCGGCGCTATCACTTCCTGGTCCAGGCTGTCACACACGCTTGTATATTTAGTGCTTCCCCCCCTATTCATGCCTTCAGTTTTGCCTTCCCTCTAGGTGCCAGGGGTTATCTGCTGCCCCACCCCCAAAAGTGAGTCGTCTCCCGCCAGCTTAGTGACCACCCTCAGCAGCCCTGAACGGCCCCCGCTCCATCCGCTTGTAGCTCACATAACGACAGATGGGTGGCGTCACTAACTCAGCTGGCATTAAAGGTTTATTTTTACCCAGAATTATCTAAGCCTCACTATTTCTCACTCTTATTCCCCTGCTTCAGGACAGCAGAAGCTGCCTCAGGATATCAGGAGTTCCTGTTGTTATGGGGGCAGTGAAGGTGACTGGCGGCATGCTCACCCTGTGGCAGGGGCCTGGAGCAGCAGCGGGCCGAAGAAGGCAGCGGTGGCACGGGGGTCCAGCCCGTTGGTGCCAGAGTGCTGGCACACGGTGTCCAGGTGCCTCAGCAGGTACTGCACAGTAAGCAGGTTCTGCACCGGGACGGTAGGCCCCTCCAGGGCCTTCATCAGGCCCCCGGCACCACGCTCCGGTGTCAGGGTATCTGTGAGAGGACATCCCACCAGGGAGTTTTGGTGAGTGCTGCACGCTCAGCCGGACAAGCCAGTCGGCGCATCAGCCCACGGCCCCACCTACCTTCTCCTCGCTTCAGCGCCTCCTGCAGGGCGGGATAGAGGGCAGGGGGGATTACAGGGACAGGCAGCTCCCGGAGGTACGTCTGCAGAGCCACCGAAAGCTCGTCCACGTGACAGAGGTCCAGGTCCACCGGGGACAGGTCCGCTGAAGGGAGGTGTTCAGCACGGTCACCAAATCCACACTCGTAGTTCACCACACACATGCCTCTTATAAAGTCCCCCTTCCCCGTGGGACTGCAGAGCGTCCCATTACGTGCCCCACTGTAGTGACCTGCCCGCTGGGCTGCAGGAGCTGCCCGAGGCTGCCCAGGCTCGCCCTATGCCAGGTGACTCCTCAAAATAAACCGCCTCAAAACACGAGCCCCGAGTCCCAGTGCACCACGCCTGAGGGCATTCGCCAGCTGCGAGACCCCACCCATCCGCCCCGATTCCCTTGACAGTCCATAGGCACGTGCCGGGGGGGTGGCTGCAGGGCTCTCTGGGGTACCTGATGTTTCGACCCATCAGGACACGCCTGGACTTGCTCAGACTGCAGGCTTCTCACTGACAACGCAGATACAGGAGTACAGAGCAGCAACTCATAGGTACAGCCAGGACCTTCCCTTTCACTACTACAGCTGCAGGCAAGACAGCTACCCGCAAGACCACTACAGGCAAGACAGCTACCCGCAAGACGACTACAGGCAAGACAGCTACCCGCAAGACGACTACAGGCAAGACAGCTACCCGCAAGACGACTACAGGCAAGACAGCTACCCGCAAGACAGCACTGACACTGACTTTTCTCTAGCATCATTTTTTTGCCAGTTATTCACCCACTCCCCTGGTTCACAGGAACATTTAGTCAAAATGGCAAGTCATTTTTGTTGCCCTGAGGATTCATATACACAGTCTGTGCCCCTGGATAACATGTGGCTCCAAAGGCACTGCCCCCGTGTCACATACAGGGGGGCCAAGTCAATCGCAAGCCACCAGTTCTTACCGCTAATAAAGCGACAGGTCGGAAGCAGGCAAGACAAACACCACGTAAATGGAGACTGGGCAGCTCCCTTTGCAGTAACACTGCTGTTAACACATTATAAAATGGTAAGTTTGGATTTTAGAGGCTTTAAACAGAGTATTCGGACCAGAGCCGCTCGGGGAGCACGCACATGCACACGTATGCATGTGTGGCTCACTAGCCATCTGACATGCTTACCAGAGCACACTGGTGTTATGAGGGGCGAATGCGCCTTACCGAGGTTCAGGGTCTGTCCAGAGGAGCTCGTCGTCCTGTAGAGCGTCTGGCAGTTCAGACCTGCAGCAGAGACAGCAGCAGTCAGGCCAGCGGTCGGCCCGGTGCCCCCCCCGCCACACGTATGAAAACATTTTGAACAGCAGGCCGGCGCCTATATATAGCTACGGAGTCACTAAGCAGAGCTTTGACACAAACTGGCCTATTTATATCGGCAAAATCCTGGAGTATGACCGTCTGGGATTCAGGACGGGAGAGATACATGGGGGCGCCGCCACCGTGACAGACAGCCTGGGGTGGGGGTGCAGCTTGGGGTTAGGCTTAGACTGGCCCCCAGTGGGGGCGGACAGCAGTACGCGCTGTAACCGGACCGGTTACTCCCCCGTGAAAGTCCGCGACAGACACAAGCAAAGAATCATGACTTTCTGCCACCTCTGGCTTGGCACCATCACCCCGGCATTATCGGTATTCACTCTGGCTTGGCACCATCACCCCGGCGTTATCGGTATTCACTCTGGCTTGGCACCATCACCCCGGCGTTATCGGTATTCACTCTGGCTTGGCACCATCACCCCAGCGTTATCGGTATTCACTCTGGATATGCACATTACAGCCATAAGCGCTTGCCGAAATTCTGACTCTTGTATTTTAACCAGCAGAAATCTGAAAAGCTGGCTACCTCAGTCCCCTTTGATAGGCTGTTTGGCAGTAATCAGCTACTTTATTACACTATTGATTAGTCGGTACATCACACTGAGCTGCTTTAGGGCCGTTTTGTACTCCACAGTCGCAACGCGTTCTCATACACATGGCCGTCACACGTGTCATGCATTCATTCCACACATCGTTTGTGCAGTTATGCGTGGAATTAATGCCACGTGTTTGCAAGATGCAGTACCGCCAAATATCTTGGGGATGGTACGGTCTCCTTTCGTAATAGGACTGTGTGTTTATATACAGTATTTAGTATTAAAGTAGTATCTGATTTTTTTTTTTAGAATGAGTGCCTGGATGACTTAGATGATATAAGCAGTGTGATATGTACGAAGTACAATGGAATCCTTACTTGAATGCCTTCCCCACAGACTACAGACAATTAACATGACAATGAAACACTACAGTACATAAACACTAATTAGGACTGGGCCATGTGCGATAATACTGACATCGCAAGTTATGCACAATTATACACATGTAATTGTCACATTGCAGCTGTGCTAAGATCAGGCTTTTGTATACCTTCATACTGTATGGCCATTATACAGCGGTATAAGGTATTTTTTTCATAAATATCGATCACGTTTCACTTGAACATTTGCATGAGCTCTGCATGTGCTCTCCGTACTAATCAATCATTTTCATCATTGCCATTTAAATCACTCACAGGCGTGTTTGAGCCACAGAATCAGCTGTGGTAGGAGTGAGTGTAAAACATTTCATGCCGCAGCCTCATTTAAACAAGCAAGACCCGAAACTAAGAAGCCAACCCAGATGGTTTTCTCACACTGCCCTCTGGTGAACTTGTAATCCTCCGCACTGACATAAAACTATGTGTGTATGAACAGAAACAATGCTTGCATAGCAACAGCATGCATAAGGGCACACATTGCAAGCATTTAAACTGGCTCTTAGAGACAGGCACGGCATCTGACGGGCACGGAGTCTGACAGACAGGCACAGCATCTGAGGGGCGCAGAGTCTGACAGACAGGCACAGCGTCTGACGAGCACGGAGTCTGACAGACAGGCACAGCATCTGAGGGGCACGGAGTCTGACAGACAGGCACAGCATCTGAGGGGCGCAGAGTCTGACAGACAGGCACAGCATCTGACGAGCACGGAGTCTGACAGACAGGCACAGCGTCTGACGAGCACGGAGTCTGAAAGACAGGCACAGCGTCTGACGAGCACGGAGTCTGAAAGACAGGCACAGCATCTGAGGGGCGCAGAGTCTGACAGACAGGCACAGCGTCTGATGAGCACGGAGTCTGACAGACAGGCACAGCATCTGAGGGGCACGGAGTCTGACAGACAGACACAGTCTCTGATGGGCGCAGAGTCTGACAGACAGGCACAGTCTCTGATGGGCGCAGAGTCTGACAGAGGCACAGCATCTGACGAGCACGGAGTCTGACAGACAGGCACAGCATCTGAGGGGCGCAGAGTCTGACAGACAGACACGGAGTCTGACAGACAGACACAGTGTCTGATGGGCACGGCATCTGACTGATAGGGACGGCATCTGACGGGCATCACATAAGTACCAAAATCCGGAAGAACCAATATACACCACATAAGTAACGTGGTTCCAGAAGGTATCTTTGAATGCTGCCCCAAGTTTTTAAAAGAATCATTATGTAAATCTCTGTAGTTACCACACCAAAGAAAATGCTGGAAAGGAGGATGGGATACTTATCACTCGATCCCAACCTCTCCCTCTGTTTTAACAGCTGGAATATAAATGCCACAGACTAAAGAGGCTTACACCTCATAACTGACCAAACGACCAACATTAAAATCACAGTCATAGGACCAATAAGGGCACCTTCTCTTACCGTTCCTTTCAATGGCCTCCACCAGCTTCACCAGGAGGGGGGGTGCAGTTTCTGGGGGTGAGAACTGGTCTTTCAGATCCTGAACGGGGACAGCTGATGGAGCAAGCAAACAAAGACAGTAGGCGTTTTATATTGCAAAACAAAGTCGAGAAATGCCATTTCATTCATCTGAACGCAATACACCAGAACGCAAAATTAGTGAAATATTAAATAACACAGACATAAGTCTAACACAGGGGTGGCCAATCTTATCCGCAAAGGGCCGCTGTGTATGCAGGTTTCTGGGATAGGTCAGCTGTTCAAACCCAGGTGTGAGGACTCTTCAGTCAATCAGTCCTCTAATTAGTAATCTAATTAGGGAGTTGCATCGAAACCCCACATATACAGCAACCGTTTCTTGATAAGATTGGCCACCCCTGGTCTAACACAATACAAAATTCTTAAAAATCAAACCATAATTTGACAGGCTTCTAATACACTTGAGCATAATCTTTACTCTCCTGAACACTGTTAAATATACATCATTTAGGGTTTTTTGAGGTGGGTCAGCGCCATAACCACCCGCCACCCTAAATCCCGCCAACACGGGTAACTATCAATCTACAGACAAAAATAAATTTACTTCTTATTAGGATGTGAAAGCAAAAAAGGCTTCATGAGAACTCGACAAACACAAAGGGGCTACCCTCATAGCTGAAAGAGGCCCCACTTTTAGAGAATACCCCCTTAAGGTCTCCATTCGGGGGCTGCCCCTTGCGTGACTAAGGTCTGGAAAGCGCCTCAGCAAAGCACAATAAAAGATAAAAAAAAAAAAAAAGTGGGAAAGGGCCGGTGGCCGTAAGCCAGCAGCTCGTTCTGAGCCCACCGCAAGTGCAGAGGCAGGCCGAGTGCTGGGAGGGGGGCAAACCAGCCCTCATCACTCATTCCTGCATGTCAGCACATTCCAGCTCCGAGCCGCTGCATGTTAAGCATGGAAATCCGCCCCCCCCCCCCTCCGTCTCGCATGTCCAGTCTCCACAGCCCATGCCCGCCAGACCCTGCCATTTTGTTTGTGCTCGCCGTGGACCCGTCTGGACCCGTCTGGACCCGTCCTGACCCCCCTATGCCCACTGTGCAGTTCTCCAAACTCTGGCAGTTAAAGTTTCAGTCCAATTTACCAAAAAATTCCAGAGAAAAGGGAAAGTGAATGTGAAGCGTGGGGAACATTTTCCAGGTGGTTCTGCAGGGGGTGCTGTCACTTCTGGGGCTGAATATTTAAACATGTCCCTGCTGTGAGCGTCTGGAGTTTGCATGCCCCCATGTCACACGGGTTTCCTCCCACAGTCCAAAAACATGCTGTAAGGTGAACTGGGGTCTCCAAATGGCCCACAGTCTGCCTGAGCCTTGTTAAGGGCCGACATTTTGTCCAGAGTGTCTCCAGCCTTGTACTGCATGGCTACCATCTCACTGTAACCCTGTCAGGGATAACTGATGAGACCTGCAACAAATTAACACGGTGGCACGTTCCCAAAGTTCACCCTCTCACGTAAATGTGATTGAGCATTAGCTTCCGTGCAAAGAGTATGACTTTCTGGAAAAGTAGTTGCAACCAGGAAACCATTCTGTGTTTCTGGAGAGGGAAGCAAGGAATGACTGAATTAGAGCTGCTTAAGCAACGGAAGCTCGGGAATAGCCAGGAGGAAACATGCCCAGGGAAACAGGAAGTGAGGTCATTACAATCTGGCACTCTATCCTATAGGCTCCTAGAAGGTACAAAGATCCTTGGTCACAAGGAATCCTGATAGCAAAGACACTCAAGACTGGTCCCACCAAAGGCCCACTGTTGATCTGTGCAAGTTGAAGACATTATTAATGGACAGAATCCTGCAGTTTTCCAAACAAACAGCGAACATGAGTCAATTTCTAAGCCCCTGGCTCATGATTAAAAGCGAATAATGTATTTATATGTGTACTTATCTAACAGTTAGCAGTATGTCACCATTAATGTCACAAACCATCAAGATGCTGACTAATGTACTGCACACAGATCCACAGGGTGACCGCAATGTACTGCACACAGATCCACAGGCTGACCGCAATGTACTGCACACAGATCCACAGG